TGACAGAGGCAGGAACGACTGACAGGGTTTTATTACAGACAGAGATCAGAGAGTTTTTTTTTATTGTCCACTGGATTTGTATTTCACATGAGGACATTGTTTGACATTTCTGTCCCGGGGGGGGGCTGTCCTTCAACCCTCATTTTGACTATTGAAATATTTCTGAAGTCTGGGATCATTTTTAAATGTCATATGTTTCAGGCTCTGTCAAGCTTCCTGCTGTAACGCTGCATCAATTCTGTGGTGTAGACTTTAGAATCACTGTAGACTGTCAACGAAAAACAGCTGTCAGCTGACGAAAATGTCTACACGTGCTTCAAAATGAAGGTCCTAGTGAATCTGGTTGACTTCCTGTCTCCTCAGACACTGATGTCTGTGGGTTTGCGGCAGTGACCATCGTGATGCTGACCTTCACTTCTAATGAGTTGTATTTCCCAGGCAGGGAACTTGAGCCAGATGCAGCGACACGCTCATGAAATCTGAGCTGGGTGTACAGTCAGACCTCCAGTGGTGCAGCTAGAATTTAATTTACAGCCAATCTCAAAAACCTGTTTCCTACAGGATTGTTGGATCATAGCCTGGAGCGACTGTATGCTTTGTGTAGAAAACCGAAGAACATATTCCTGCTTAATGCTCCAAATTCAGTGGTGTTGATGGTGATGGCGTGGATGATGATGTCACGGCGTTGTGTCTATCATTCTTGTGTAATAGTCCCAGAGCGCAGCCGCTCCTCCTCTGGCCTCTGTGGCTGTGAACAGCAGGACTCGGGGCCCCGTGGCCACAGCTGCACAGGCCTTTGTCCTCTGAATACATAAACACTGTCGCCTGTCCTCGGGGGTTCTTGTATGACACTGAGAAAGACAAAAACAAATAGAAAGTGACACCGGCCCACTCTGACGCCCCCTATGGAGCGTGGAGCGGAGGGAGAAATAGAAAGCTGCAGAAACATGAAGATTTAAAACAGAGCTGACCACAGTCTTTGTTTATCCACAGTTTACCCACACACTTGACCTTCTGTGCCTAAGCTCCGTCTCTGGGGACCACTGATAAAGAGGGTGTAGTGGAGTCTGAGAGATATAATCACAGCCACAAGGCAACGGTTGGAGACTAGAAACTGACTCCATTTTTTTTTTTTTTTTTTTAGAATTTTTTTTTATTAATTGTGTGCCATCACATCAACACTTCACATGAAGAAGATTGAGGAGCATTAATTTTGTGCCATCACATCCACACTTCACATGAAGAAGATTGAGGAGCTGAGCTGTTCATTCTCTCATTTATTTATTGTGTCCTTGTCTATTTATTAGTCACCCCGACACTCATTACTGCACCGTCCTCTTGCACCTGTGCTCCAGCAGAATCGGGCTACACCTCACCATATAAGGACAAGTGAGAGACCCTTGTTGGGATGACGTTGGACGTGGCAGTGGGGTAGGGCGGGGGGTGGGGGGGTGAGAAGAAGACAAACGTGTGGATGGATGGTCTACAACATAGAGCTAACCCAGAGAGGAGGGGAAACACTGGGGTATAATCTGCTTACATAAGGAGTGACTGGATGTGCCGAAGGTCCCTGCACTATAATCCACTCACATATTCATGGTTCAAGTGTCCCGCTGCAGGGAAACACTTGTGGCTCTCGTGTGCAAGTTTGCGTCCAAAGGCGCACGAAATTTGTCGCATCTGAGAAACACGGGCACATCGATTTCATATTTCAATGTATGTATCCATGCGATTCGGTATTTGAACCGAACCGGGAGTGTCGTCCTGTGTTGTTCGAGCCCGTGACGATACCGCTGACGCGCCACTGACGGTCAGCAGCTCCACTGGAGACGGAGCAGAGCAGAGCAGAGCAGAGCA